AAAGATCTATACATGATGTTAGTAGCTTGGATGTCGAGATCTAGGCATTTCTCTTGTGCTTGAGTTAGATTATTTTTATCCAACACATGAGAAAAGCCTACATCTACCATCTGCCACATTTGAGGGCAAATAAACTTAAAATTCCATATCATCCAATTTTTCCACCGTGCAAAGTGTGTGCCATCAAAAATGTGTGGACAATCAACATCGAGCCCATAAGCCGCCATCCTCTCAGGTCGGAGAAGAGCACAAATGAGAGACCTAACTCCGATACCACTTGTAGGGTCGAGATGGTGGACTAGAGGGGGGTGAATAGTCCTTTCTAAATTTAATCGCGCTGGCTAATCGAAACAAATGTGGAATTAAAATAATCGGTCTAGCCAAGACTATACCCCTCTATCTAAGTTCACAAACACCTTATAAAGATCCTAATTAGACAACAAAGGTGCCGGGCTAGCTAGAGCTCACCTAACCAATTCTAGAAGCAAGGTCACACAAACCTATGCCACTAGTACTTCAAGCAACGAGGGAGCTCCTACACATGCTAGTAAACAAAAGCACAAAGCCACCTAAGCTCAGTAGCAATGCTCAATTAACAAGGCAACCAATGCCAAATTAGAGAGCGCAAATACTTAGCTACACAAACTAAGCAATGTGACTAACAAGGTTACACAAACCAAATTAGCCACCCAAGGGAGCTACTTCTATGCTACTCAAGCAAGAAGGTAACTAGTGAGCTACACAAGCTAACTAATTACAAGAGCAACTACACAAGCACAATGTATATGAAAGTAATCACAAGCTTGTGTAAGGGGATTGCAAACCAACAGGAAGAACAATGTTGACACGGTAATTTTCTCCCGAGGTTCACGTGCTTGCCAACACGCTACATCCCCATTGTGTCGACCGCTCACTTGGTGGTTCGGCGGCTAATTGGCATCACCCGCCCAGCCATCATGTCGGGCACCGCAAGAACCTACCTTGAAAGTGAGGGTAGCTCAATGACACGCTCAACTAGAGTTGCTCTCCGCGGCTCCCGCGGGGTGAGCATAATACCCCTCACAAAGCTCTTCTCCGGAGCACCGCACAAGCTTCTTGCGAGCTTCGACGGAGACCACCACCGAGCCATCTAGGAGGTGGCAACCTCCAAGAGTAACAAGCACCACCAGCTTACAAGATGACCACCTAGTGCCACTTGATGCAACCTCACGATGCAATCGCACTAGAATCACTCACTCGCTCAATCGGATGAACACTATCAAGCTAGAGTGAGTTAGAGGGCTCCAAAGCACTCTCAAGCATGGACACAAAGTCTCCCAAGGTGCTCAGCTCCGGCCATGGCCGAGACCACCTTCTATTTATAGCCCCCACAAAAATAGAGTCATTGTACCCCTTCACTGGGCACAGCTCGGGGTGACCGGACGCTCTGATTAGATCGACCGGACACACTCGGTCCAGCGTCCAGTCAACGGATGCACGCCACATGTTGCCTCCATTCAACGTCAGTCGCTTGATCTCAACGGTCAGCTGCCACACGCGCCAACGGTCAAGTGATGACCAGACGCAGCACAGTGCCAAGACCGGACGCACCTCTTCCGAGTCCGGTCATTTCCAGAGAGGTCCCGAGGGAGCCAAATGACGACCGGACATGTTAGTTCGATCACGACCGGACGTAGGAGGGGCAGCGTCCGGTCGAGTCCAGAGAGCTCCCTGAGCTGCTCAATTGCGATCGGACGTGTCCGGTCGGTCACGATCGGACGCAGCATCAGCGTCCAGTCCTTCTCCTCTTCTCTATGCCGCCACGTCAGTGGGACCAGACGCACCCACCATGCGTCCGGTCATGAAGTGACCTAGCGTCCAGTCGAAGACTGACGCCTACGCTTTCACTGCTGCCACTGACCGGACGCGTCGGTCCAGTTGAGGCCAGCGTCCGGTCACTCACAGTGACCTCCTTTCGCCTCCATTTCTTCACTGAGTTGATCCACATCAACTCCAACTTCTTCTCCTTTGCAAATGTGCTAACACCACCAAGTGTACACCACCATGTGTATGTGTGTTAGCTTTTTCACAAACATTTTTCAAAGGATTAGCCACTCAATTTGCCACACCACTCGATCCTAGCGACGATGCAAAGTTAGATCACTCAAGTGGCACTAGATGACTGATATGCAAACAAGTCTGCTCCTCTTGATAGTACAGCCATCTATTCTAAACTGGTCATCAACTTCTCTACACACCTATGACCGGTGAAATGAAATGCCCTAGCTAATACATTTGCCTTGCACATTCCATGTCATCTCCTCCATTGTTGATGCAACACATGCACCAACCAATCACCAAATGATATGATCCACTTCATATCATCACGTGACCGTATTGGTTCATCGATCTTGACTTCACTTGCTTTTCACCGTTGCCTTCGTCCATCGGCGCTAAGTCTTGCTCAAGCTTCACTGCCACGCGGTCCATCGCTCCAAAGCCTCCGACTTGCCCTTTACGCTTGCAACCGGTCCATTAAGCCAAGTCATGTCTTGATCTTCTCCACCTTGATCACATGACTCAATGTCATGTCTCATGTGCAATGAGCTCCTTCATCATCACATGTGTGAGTTTATAACATCTCCGAGCCATTTCCACCTTCATGGCATATGTTGCTCACACACATGTACCTATGGACTAATTACCTGTGTATCTCACATAAATACAATTAGTCCTCCTAGGTTGTCACTCAATTACCAAAACCACACAAGGACCTCTTAGATGGGTGGCGGCTACACGAACAAAGATGCAGTAGAAGGGCCTCTCCACGACGGCGGGCACCCTAGCGACGGCGTTTCGGTGAGCCACAGTATTAACAAGGCAGTAGAGATAGCGGGTGAGCAACAGGGACTCACTACTAACCTAGCAGAGGTGATGGTTTGACCGGAGATGCCCCAAGCGAGCCTGATCGGGTGCACACGGTGAGCTCAACGGCGAACTATAGCGACACACGGCCGTGCCAGCGGCGAGGAGGCAATGGTAGAGGTGCCGCTTAGGTGCACATGAAGAGGAGGGGTTCTAGGCAGGGCTAGTGGTGCAGCTAATTTGGCTCGAGACGTTGAGGAGGGGGTTGGCCACAGTGAGGGCGGTGACGGGTCTTAATGGCACGGTGGCAGGGCGAAGCTCCAAATTGGAGCTTGGCCTTGCACGGTTCAAGTCTGGGTGGGGGTGGGCAGTGAGCGAACGTGAGAGCGCAGGCGCGGGCACATGGAATTGATGGGGGTGGCTTCTCGCATGCAGGTGGGTTGGCGCAGCTCGGCGGCGGCAGCAAAAAAGAGGACAGGGGAAGCGCGGGAGATGGTGGGGACGCAGTCAAGGCTCGACTTGTGCTTGCTTGGTGGGACGCGGTTGACGCTACCGGAGCGACCATGGCCGGCACTAGCCGACGACACGCGCTCGAGGTCGGCGTGGCCCGCGCGCCGCAGTGCCATAAATGGCATGGCGACGGCGGTTTGGCCTCGTGTGTGCAACGCGGCAGGCTGGCGCAATGGCGCAGCTGCAGCGATGCGATGCGACAACAGCGGCAGCGGTGTTGTCGTGGCGCGGCACGGAGGGCGGCAGCAACACGCGATAACGGCAATAGGCGGGCGGCGCGCGTGGCGAAGTCAGCGGCGACCACGGGCTCCGCGACGGCAACGGCAATAAGCGGCGGTAGCGATGTGGCGCGAGTCAGCAGTACCACGGCTCGCTGGCGGCAGGCGAGGCGGCCCGATGATGCTGACACGCCAGCGCATTTACACGCCGTCGGCCGCTTCGGCATGGTGATCGCGTCCAACCGGGAAAAACAACCCGAGAACACGTTGTGCATGGATTTTAAAGCGTTCGAAACAACTACACAGTTGATCCAATCCCCAAACCACCTTCACTACTCTAAAGAGGACACCTTAGGCTATCAACAAGAGCTAAAGAATGACACCACTCCTAAACTCAATTTTTACAGAATAAATTACCAAATATAGGTTTGTCAATCTGTTTTTAGACTTCAGAAATTGACTAAGTCTTGAGTTGGATTTGCTTCAAATTTGATTTCCAAGCTATTAGAAATGTTAGCTAGCGTTATTATCTTGTTAAAACAAAAGTTGCACTATCTTCTACAAAATGTGTACTTCAAACTTTATTAAGGTGTCACATATATATTTTATAGCGTTTTTGTTCAATAAAAATTAGTTAACATCTCTACTTACTAACTTTATAAATCGTGAATTAACTTTTCGTTTTACGTTTTACGACTCGTTTAAGTTACAATACTTTACCTATCCATCACACAAGTAATATCACTTAAGTATGATGCTCATGACATGTTTTAGCAAGTGATTCATTTTGTAACATCGAGGGTGTTACATCTGCCGCCATAATTTTAGTTTCCTTTTACTCCCGCCTGGCTTTCGTCCACTAACACTACATCATCACCGAACAATATACTGGTAACCTCATCCATTACAAAGACAAAGAGATAGAGGCTTAAAGCTGACCCTTAATGAAGTCCAATTTTAATCAGAAAAGTAATATGTTACCATTGTTTGTTCGAACAGTAGTCACAACATTATTGTACATATCCTTATGAGGGTCACGTACTTTGATGGGACTTTATGTTTGTCCAAACTCACATCCTTGTATATGTTTTGAAACATATACAAACCATCAATTACTTGAGAATCAAACTTTAACCAATAATAATTTTATTAAATTAAGACACGGAAATAATGAACACAGAATACACCATTACAGTGAATGAATTTCAAACAAAGCCGTTTCTTGCATGGTGGGTACATTCACTGGTTCAACAATTCAGGGAGACAAAAATTAACATAAAATCCTGATCAACATAACATTACAGTGAATGAATTTCAAACTTCAGTGTTTGCATGACTCAGAGTAGCTAGAGGCTGGGGAATGCTTTGAACCAGGCGTTCACAAATCGAACAACTCCCCATTGCAAGTGGTTGCTCAAAAGGCCTAATTTAGAAATCATCGTCATCCTCCTCAGCCATGTGCTTAGCCAGTTCTTCCTCCTGCTGAAGCCTCTCTCGGCGCTTCTCAGCGCTCTCCTTTTCCTTGTGAGAATTAGGGGGGAACCTCATCGCCTTGACCGCCTCATTGTGCATGTTGAGGCAGAACGCAATCCTGGAGTTGAATGCAATTTGTGGCTCATTTGTCGAGTAGACATCGCCAGTTTCCTTCGAAACCATCCAGCCATTGGCATGATCTATGGTGGCGTCAATTGCACCATCTCTTATGGCCTTGGCTACAATGCTCTCTGCATCAGCAATAGGGTTCTCAGAGTCTAGTCTGAGCTTCTTAGCAATGTCAGCAAGGGAGATCCTTGAGTAAGAAATGCTGATGTTGCGCAGTCCAGTTCGAATGACATTGTGTCGCAGCCTCACAATCAAGTTGCGAGTCCTGTCTGCGCTGAATGTGCTTGCAAATTTGTCTGCGACGGCCCTGAACAGTTCAAGGTCCCCAACCCTGACAGCCTGGAGGACACATGTATGATGTAAGTTCAAAGTATTTCACCTATTGTACCAGAGTTTATGCATGACCAGTTACTTACATTTGTTAGCTCAAAGTAAGGTGTCAGAGCTTTCTTCATTCCTTTCTGCATGAAAACAGTCCTCTCTGGAATCTCTCCAAGCAGCAGCCTCACTATGATAGCCCATTTGTTGCACTGAATCCGAAAACCACGGGCTGTTGTTGGTGCCTTACGAGCAGCTTGCAGGAGGCTTTCTTTAGCATCAGTGTACTCCAACTGAATTGTCCTAATTTTGCCCAAGTAGAACAAGTACCGGCAAAACTGCAACAAAAGGAATTTGTAGCATTTGTTTAGAAAGCTTTCCTACAAAATCAATTTTCTGAAGAAAGATATAATACTTCAATCACCAACAGAGCAACCACTAGAAGTCTCTTAATTGAAATAGTTACATACATGGTTTGCATGTGCTAAATCTAAAACATAGTAAATCCAAAAGCTGCATCACAACAAACTGAATAAGCAAATGAATTACTTGTTGATTGGAATGTGCTTCAAAACGAGGTGCCTTTGATCTAAGCTTTTCTGCTTGATCATACAAGTTGTAGTGGAGGTAATTGCGGAGGAGGAGATTGAGTAGTGTTTCCTGCAATCAAGAACCAAATACATACAATCAGGTATGCAGAATTCCACAACATAATAATAGAGCAGTGGCGAGCAGAAAATCAGCATTACCTGGCCAAGCTCGTCATGGTGCAAAGTTGCCATTCTATGTAGAGCAAGCAGATTCCTGAAAGAAAAACCAAAGCAAATGTAGGAGAGATTGCCAGGATTGGTCCTGGGAGTGAACAATGAGCAAGAATGAAACATTTGACTTACCCACGTATTTCAGCAAGGCTGTTGGTAAGCTCATACACATAAGAGTAATAAAAGTACAGACGAGATGCCAGGACATCAACAGTTCTCCGGTTTAGGTTCTTCAGGCGAGCAATGCTCACATTTGCGCATGCTTTAGCCTTAATTCAAAAGGAAAAATTCAAATTATTATGTTTCACACATCAAACATAAGGAAAATCAGTGGTTCCAGATGTACCTCATCGTATTTCTTCTGATCAATAAGGAAAATCAGTACAAGCAAGTAGCAAAATATTTCAATCTCAGGGAGACCATGTTTGATTGAAATCTGAGTTGCCGGAGACGCAGCATCAACATCCATCTCAGTATCATCTTCCTGAAAGAAATTACAGGTGAATATTAGGAGTTATGAATGTGATATTTTTTTAAAAACTCACTCGTTCTTTTACTCTACCGTACTCCCTCCATCCCAAATTATAAGTCATTCCAACTTTCTTGGAGAGTCAAAACATCTCTAGTTTGACCAAATTTATATATTAAAATAATAACATTTATGATACCAAATAAGTATCATTAGATTTTTCATTAGTTATATTTTCATAGTATATCTATTTGATGTCATAAATCTTTGTAATTTTCTCTACAATTTTGGTCAAACTTGAAATGCTTTGATTCTCCAAAAAAGTTGGAATGACATAATTTGGAACGGAGGGAGTACAAAACAGAGTGATAGCATTGTAGATTCTAACAATAAACTACAGAACAAGCAGCAGACATAGCAAAATCTATTTAACAGGGCATGAGCTTCTTCAGTTCTTCACATACAGAAGAATCACAAAGGGCGTACCCAGTGCAGAGAGCTCCCGCTCTGTGCGGGGTCTAGGGAAGGGTGTTAGTGGCAAGCCTTACCCTCGCCTGTGCAATGCAAGGAGACCGTGACTCGAACCCGGGACCTTCCGGTCACAGGCGGTAAGACTCTACCGCAGTACCGCTTGCACCAGGCCCGCCATTCATACAGAAGAATCACAGACAAATTAATAATCTACCAAATGTAAAAACTCACTATACCATTTTCCAAAATTGTAGGTGTAGTGTAGTTGCACAAAGAAGGAAAACTAAGCTCTGAAGATTCAACTCTAGTAATGGCTTTTTAATTCGTCCTCAGCTAAGTGAGAGTCTAGGTATATGAAGACAATGAACAAAATTATGAGCACATGTTACTGAGAAGGTAGTGATTTTGAAAGTTGAAGCCTTGAAGCACAAGAGGTTGAAAATCCAAATGATTGTAAGATCTACTTACTGCTTGCTAATGGTAGATCTAAGAAACTAGCAGTGCCAAACAATTACGATATTCAGGAGAAAAACTAAAGAATGAAAAAAGAACTCTGGACTAGAAGAGCCAACTGCACAGGTGCAAATCATACATAATCCATAGGAATAATGCAAGTGTATCCAATTGTGACAAGGGAATATATACATGATGGCAAGATTGATTTTTTTTGTCTTACAGTTTAGGCTACATAACAAACGCATAAATAATGATGCTAGAAGTGCAGCATGAATGCATAACTAGCTCATTCAGATGAAGAGTAAAGTAACAGCATAGGAGAAAACTTGTATGCCTTCCATCAACTATGGGCCTGTTCGCTGGTTGATGCTGGTGCTGGTTTGGGCTGGCTGGTGCTGGTTTTTTGCGAGAGGAAAACACTGTTGGCTGGCTGGTTTGGACTGGCTGAAACCAACAAGCGAACAGGCTGTATAATGGACATGGGAAAACCAAATTGTGCAGTGACAAATCAATATTCATGATAGTGTGATCAATAATTCAATATGCAAGGCACCATACAAGTATGTTAAACCTCGGATACAGCGATATATTAGCAGCATCAGTAACATCCTTACACGATGAGGCCCAGGCGTAACAAAATCTGGCGAGTACCAAAGTCTAGCTTCTCTAATCCAATCTGCGATACCTTAACAGCAGATAGCCGAGAAGCGAATTTTACCTTGGGCACGAGGGCGGTGAGGCGTCCGTAGGCTTCGGAGGATGCGGGAAGCGCGAAGGCGAGGAAGGCGGAGACGTCCCGCGCGGCGAGGCGGCGGCGGAGCGCGACGGTGAGGCGGAAGGCGCGGGAGATCCGGCGGACCTCCTTGGACAGAGAGCCGGCCTCGATCACGGTCGCGATCTCCTTCAGATCTGACACAAGCCCCGCTTCAGCGACACCGAATCTTAGGAATTTCGCCGTCGCGGAGACGATGGATGGATAACTCTAGGGTTTTGGGGGAGGGGAAGAAAGGAGTGGGGGAGCTTACGGTGCAGTGTGGAGAGCGCCGGCGCCGCGGCGGCGGGAGCTGGGGCCGCAGGCTGGGGTTCCGAGTCGTTCATCTGCACGTCTTCCGGCATCGTGGCGGTGGCGGCGGCTGCGGCGGCGAGGTGCGGAACTGCTCGAGTAGGAGAGGATTTTGTGGCGTGGTGGCGGATCGGTGAGGAGAGCAATATGGAGCCTTCTGCTTCCGGCTCAAGAAGGTCGCTTCCGGGTTCGGTTACCTTCCGTCACCGCTTTGTTGTGTCCAGCTCCACTTGAAATCGGAAACCCAGCAGCCCTGCAGCCGCCGTTTGTGGGCTGCCTGCTATTCGTCCTTGTTGGGCCTGGGAATTAGGATGGCTAAATGGGCAGTCCCGAAACGTGTCAGTCCGTGGTCCGTGGGCTTTCTATCATCTCCAAATGAGCGTACTGGCCTTTTGTGTGGTTATTGACTTTTTTCCCCTCGTAGCTGCAGCTTGGGAAATTGGTAATGTAGATTTTTATAGTAGCAAACTGTACATTTGAGGGGTAATTTTTTAATAATGATAAAGTTAGATAATTTAGATGTAAACTTAAGTGGCAATTAAATTATCTATTACAATAGTATACTCTCTCTATTCCAAATTATAAGACGTTTTGATTTTTCTAGGTTCATTATTTTTGCTATGTATTTGGACACACACTATATATGAGTGCATAGCAAAACCTATAAACCTAGAAAATCTAAAATGTCTTATAATTTGGAATATAAGGAGGAGATGTGGGCCATGCAAAACTGCAAATCTAGAGGGTTACTTTAGGTTATCTTTCATAATATTACAACCATAAATACGGATAATCTAGATGTCGGGGTTACTTTTACTTTGTTTCATAAAATGGTGGAGGTGGGTAGCTTTTCTAGAAAACAAAATATAGTTTTTGTTATAATTCTATAATTTCTCTTTTCTTTTTCTAACGTGTCTTTCCTTAGCTATACGTGGAGGGACTCCAATAAGAAACCTCCAGTCTATCAATCCCTCCTCCCGCATGGGTTAGAATCTTAGGAGGTATACGGATCACGTGCTAATGTCAAATACCGATAACTATTTTACTTACATTAATTTTCAAGTTTTTTCTCTGTTCTTTTTCTAGCATGATAGTCATGAGATACTAATATACTATGTAATCTTTTTATCAAATTGCAATAAACCTACCAATTACTGATCTATATGTTTCTTTCATCCATATCCATGGTTCTTTTGCCTTTGCATGGCATGTTTGTGTATCTTTGATATGCATTTAGTAAAAATTTTAACTTAAACTATGATGCCACTTGTTGTAGTGTCTCATAATGTCATGAATCTAGGTTTAATATTTTCAGATTTTGAATCTTATTAGTTGCTATAGGTTGTTTGAAACATCTTGCTCAGCTATACCTCTCGCCAAAGTAGAGGGATGGGATGGGATGGGATTCATTGCGTGTGCGAGCTGGGATGAGAAGAGATAAAAGACGGCAGGTTCTGCCACATGGTCCCAGGCGGTCAGAGAAACAAGAGAGATACGGTAGCCTTTGCTGGTGGGCTGTCATCTGAAGGTTTGTTGGCCAGCCCAAACTGATGGGAAGCGCGGGCCGCTGCGGTGAAAAGGAAAACAAAATGGGCCGAGTCCAGAAGCAAATGATCTCAGGCCAGAGACAAAGTTTGCGTAGGTAAACTAAAAAAAAAACTAGAACCTTTATATTTTCTGAAACTTCAGAAAAAAACAAACAAAAACGTTCCTAACACAAAACAAAAACGGATTTGCTAATGAACAACCGCATGTTTTGGAGCTTACTATCATGCGGATTCTAGGCCTTTGATTGTTGGGGGCGCCTGTGCTCTGCCGTCCAATCTGAGAAGGGCCTCCGCACGTGGTGGGCCTCCGCACGTGGTGGTTCTGGTCCCGTCCGCAAAGCGTGAGAAGAAAAGGAGGCGCTGTACCGAGCCGAGGCAACGGCAGCGCATGCACACCACGTGGCATGCACACCGCAATGAAATCTGGCCGGATGTGGATTTTGTATTTCTTTTTTAAAATTTCTGAAGAATTTGTGAACAATTCGACATATATTTCTCTGATGTCTGGAATCCATAAAAAATTTTGTAATTTTTTAAAATTTGGCATATATTTGTGTTATCCCCAGATTACATCACTCTGTCCAAGAAATTACACTGAAGGAATCATTGTAAATATAGTAATAAGACGGTGTAAATATAGTTATAAGACAGTGTAAGTGTATGGAAAAAATCTGGTTATTAAAAGGGGCTAAAACAACCCGTTGGTGGCTAGACAGATTCAACAAAAACATGAAACTATTTTTGAAGCATAGATACAAAAATTTTAAATGTGTCATGATGCACCAAACAAATTTATAAACCTATGGTTTTTTCATTTGACTTTAGAATTTTTTCCTTAACGAAAATTAATTTTGTTTCCAAGCTCGTTATCAAAGGTTGGCAAAATTTTAGAAGAAAATATTGTTGTGTTGCCCAATCACGTCTCAGGATCCAAAAAAAATTGAAGTGTAACAAATAATATGACTAATTCTTCTTCAAATGCAGTTCCACGATATTGAAAGTTAGATAGTATACTCTATACTTTTTCAATGGAGTAGTACTAGAAGATATTGGTGCAATTGTGCCATCTTCCGGCAACCGGACGTAACTAACTGCAATTAGTTTGGCTGTCCACAACAATGAACATCAACATTTTTCACGGATGGAGCTACCACTAATTTTTGCGTCTTGGAGTACGTGTGGCGTGGGTGTGCAAACAACACATGCTTCTGTCACCAGCCGGTAGAGTACAGCATATAGTCGTATTATATACACAAATGATCATAAAAAAATCTCAATTCTACAACTATTACATTATTTACAACAATCACCTCTATACGTATTTACATCCCCATCGTGTGTGTGTGTGTGTGTGTGACAGTGTGAGCCACGTACTGTATCTGTACACGCGTGCCCAACACGAAGAAAAAAAACCCAGAAAAATCAAGGTATGCAAGAAAAGAACAACCAAGGTGTCCTGCTACTAGCCTAGTATACTCTGCTCCTGGTCCGGGACACGTGTGATGTGCAGGCGCACGGTCGCCGAAAGACACCCTGACGAAACGCGCGCGCCCGCAGCGGCCTAGACCGCGCGTCGACACAGCGGGCACGACGCGTGCCGGAGCAGCCAGACGTCGATGCACGGCAGGTGGAACGTGTGCCCGCACTCCGGCAGGCTCCGCGCCGTCTCACCGGCCTCGAAGTCCTGAAGGCAGACGGAGCAGCCGATGGGCTCCCCGGAGGCGTCCGCGACGGTGCACTCGGTGAAGGCCGTGACGGGGAGCGCCGCGATGGCGGCGGCCGGCATGCCCTTGGCGGCGGCGGCGGCAGCGGCGCCCGTCTCGAACATGTCCGCCAGTGTCGGCGACGCCATGTCGTCCCCCGAGTCCGCGGCGTTCATCTGCGCGGCAGATCGAGAACACGTTAGCTTGGGCTGTGAGAGCACGTGTGTTGTTCGGCCGTTGGTCTGGGTAATCACTGGATTACCGTGGCTAAAAACGTGGCACGGCACGGTCACGAAAAAAAAATGATACTGGACTGTGAGAAGATCGTTTGTGCTTACCTGGCTGTCGACGGCGCTCTGCACGGCGGGGTCCACCTTCTCGCGTACCAGGCGGCCAGTCAGTAGGCTCCAGAGGACATCAAGCTGAAACATTTAGCACAAATTGTTTACTAAGAGATTGGATTGGATATGAAATGGCGAAACTGATTGATTATTCGGGTGCTTATTGCGCTAGGTGGTCATCACTGCAGTTACTTACCACGTATAGGACGCTCCAGATCCCGGACTCGTCGGAGCGCCAGATGGCGACGGAGGAGTCGACGACCTCCATGGACACGACGACGCCGGAGATGGCCCCGATGCCGGCGCCGCGCACCAGGCCGCTCTCCGTGGCGAGCCCGATCAGCGCGCCCGTGACGGCCCCGAGAACCATGCCCACTGCAACAAACCAACAAGGCAACAGAAGAATCAGTAGCGGTAACACGCGACGACGGAGGAAGGAGACGCGGTGAGCACATGAATCGAACCGAACCGATCGATCAAACGAAACAGAGGCAAGTCGAAAATCTATCCACCGACCTGCCGCGAAGACGAAGGTGAGCAGGTTGCGGACCACCGCGCCGGCGACGCGCGCCGGCAGGCGGGAGATGCCCCTGCCGCCGCGCGACCTGGACGACGGCGGCGCGGGAGGGAACGACACGCTGGCGGCGCTGAAGAACGAGGCCGCTTCCATGTCCATGACGATTGCTCGCTCGTTTGTCGGTGCGCGCGCAGGCAGAGGACACGAAAGGGGAAGAAGACCTGACGGTGGGAGCTCCGGCTTAGTCGTAGCAGAGCAGATGACGCTGACGAGGACGACTTTGCGGACGGACTTTTTGTGACGCGCCGCGTTTGGAAATTTATAGGTTGTTCTGGTGGACGCGTTGTTCTTGCTGGAGACTTTGGTGCCCCCCGGTGACTGTGGACGTGGTGACCATTGGCTCGCGTCGCGTCGCCCACGGCTGCGCTCGGCTCGCCAGGTCAGCCGTGCGCCCGCGGTTGCTTTCGCAGGTGCGTCTGACGTGAAGAGCCTCGCTGGCGGTGGAACGCGCCCACGCACGCACGCAAAAGCGTCCGGGCGGGAGGCAGCAGCAACCAGGCAACAGCTGAACAGCATGCACCGCCAGGCTTCTCACCTGCGCTGTGCCGGGCACATAAATGCAAACCATCCGTCCGGCACGCGGCTGACGGCGACGGCGGCCCCGGCCCCCGGGTGGTTGGCGAAGGCTCCTCGCCGTGCGTGCCGCGCTTGGTTTCCTTGTTTCGCTCGCTCTCTTAACGGCTAAGCTTCCCTCTTCCCGCACACCACCACCAACCACGACGATGACGATGCGACGCGACGCGGCGCGATCCGTCCCGCTGCCCTGCCTGCCCTTGCGCTCGGTCTCGTCCGTCACCTCGCCTCACTCGTGGCGGGCTCCCCGGACGAGCGGATCGATCGGTCGCGCGTTGAAAGGGAGTTCCGAAGCATCGCATCTGATGCATCTGCATGCGCGGGCGCGGTAGAGGAACAGTGGATGGACACGGAGCTCGCCGGCCGGTCAATTTCCGTGGACTGCTCACTGCAGCCTGCAGGCGGCCAGGCGTTTCTTTCAACGGCGGCTTGGCTGGCGCTTTTTTTTTTGGACCAACAAGTTTCTACGGGAATTAAAAACCTTTGGGACCGACATCTGACTTGCTCTCCTCTACTTGTGAAAATGACCGCGATGACTAATGACTTTTTTTGAGACTCCAGCAGCTCTCGTTTTGAGGCTTTGTTTCCCGATCCAAGCACCTTAAACTGGCTCCCATAATACAAATTGGCTTTCTTTGATTACCTGTACAAGACTTTATGCAGCATAGCACTCTCCTCAAAGCAACCTGGAATTGCATCCCGTTATACGTTCAAAATTGGCGTATCCAGCTATGCAAGTAGCCCCAGCACCCGCTCTGCAGGCCACGTTCCATTCCTTGCAGCCGCTGTGCAAGCGCCTGCACCCGCTGTGCAGTGCCCCCACGCCCCTTCTCTTAGCTCGTGCCAGCGACTGACCCGCACGCCGCCTTCGCGCACGGGCTGCTGAAGAGCATGCCGCCGTCGCCGCCCCCGCCGCATGGGAGCACGTGGAGGAGCACGCTGCCACCACGACGTCGCCGTCACCGCACGGGCCGCCGAGGAGCACGCCGTCGCCGCCCCTGCCGCACGGAAGCACGTGGAGCAGCACTCCGCCAGCACACACACAAGCCACCGAGGAAGAGTAGCCTTGAAGATGTCGAGGAGGGTGGTCCAAGGTGTTAGAAACAAAGCACCTCGGAACCGTAGATCAGGGTAAACATCTTACTTAGATGGAAAAATAGGTTCCTCTATTTCGTCCTGACGCAGTTACGCCGTAGCCGCGTGGACGCCGGTGTCGTGGGAGCTCGGCGCAGTGGAGTCCAGCGTAGTGGTGGCGATGGAGAGGCGACGGTGACGCGAGGTCAGTGGGTCTTCCCGTCGCTGGCAGCACTCTCTTTAGATCAGGTTAGGTTTAGCTGTTGGTGGGTTACGGCGGCTCCGGTCAACCTCGTAATTAGAGCCATGATCCCTACCTCTTTTTATAGTGCTGTGCGACAGGGGCCCACCAACCATATTAGGGTTGGGAGCCCCCGATCAGGACGCGGATCCAAAGGGCCTATTGGTGGAGATCAACTAACATTCTACCCCCTGATCTCACTACCATCTTTTAATTTCATATCATTTACTAACATGGCTCATGAATCATCGGAGTGGGCGCATACACCCGCTTCTCTTCAAGGTCAATTTCTCGAGCTACCATGATCCCCCTCATCATTTTATCCTCTAGGAAGACAGCGTGTCTCGTTTTCATAAACTTTGTATGTCTGTCTGGACAGTAGAAATGAAAACATTTTGACTTTTCTGGGTAGCCAATGAAATGGCAACTTACTGTTTTGAGATCTAGCTTCCCAATGTTTGGGTCAAATACTTTAGCCTCAGCAGGACTCCCATACACACGTAAGTGGTTTAGTGATACTCTTCCTGTCCACAACTCATACGGTGTTTTGGGCACTGACTTACTTGGTACTCTATTGAGAATATGAATGGCGATTTTTAACGCCTCCATCCACAGGCTCAACAGTAAGGTGGAGTAACTTATCATACTGCGCACCATATCCATCAGGGTACGATTGCGTCTTTCAGCTACTCCATTCTGCTGAGGTTCGCCCGGTGTAGAATACTGGGCTACTATGCCATTCTCCTGTAAAAACCTTGCAAAAGGTTTAGGAACTTAGCCATATGGGGTATGCCGACCGTAGTACTCCCCCCACGGTCGGACCTGACTATTTTAATCTTTAAATTGTATTGGTTTTTAACTTCTCCCTTAAATATCTTAAATTTATTCAATATTTCTGTTCTTTCTTTGATTGGATAAATGTAGCCATAACGGGAGTAATCATTTGTGAATATTATGAACGAATCATAACCATCCACACTTTTTATAGGAAATAGACCACAGATGTCTGTGTGAATAATTTGTAAAATTCCTACGCTTCGTTTAGCATCTTTTTTATTTTCTTTACATACTTTCCTTTTATGCATTCTCTGCATTGTTCTAAATCTGAGAACTCTAATGGAGGAAGAATATTATTCTTAACTAGTCTCTCTATTCTCCCCCTCGAAATATGGCATAAACGACAGTGCCATAATTTCGACGACGCATCGTGAGCTCTCTTTCGTTTTCTGTTTACATCCGCAGACGAGGATACATTCTCAATGTCGCACACAACGTTTCCATCATCGCATACAACATTCACATCATCACATAGTGATAACAAATAGTATGTGCTCTCTTATGCCACCATTTTCAGAGTACATCTCTATCACCAGCTGCTTTATCAGCTGGAGAGCATATGTCTTTGAAGAACCAGTGAACTGACTCTTTATTCTATCGAGATACTCGGTGACCGTGTTACACTCTAGGATTGAGCCCATAATTGCAGGCTCAATCGTGTTCTTTATCACAGCCAAACATTTCTTATTGACAGTGACATACTTCCTATGCTCAAGGTCATAGGACATCTTTTGGGATTCAAAATTCCTCTCTTCAGTTGTCCAAGCGGCATCAGCCTCGTTTGTCTCTCTCACCGGTGCCACAGGCTCAGTGGGACACGGTGAGGTGACTACCCAGTCCACCTCAGCCAAGATGAAGGCCAGATTAATCTTTTTCTTCCACTCCGTGTAGTTGTCACCTTTGAGAGTGGGGATCTCTTTGATACAACCCATCAAGTTGTACCCGCCTTAAAACATAATTCATATAGAGTGAGAACATAAATAATAACAACAATTGCATGCCTTGATTCCAATGTTGGTCAAAATTAAAACATACAACTGTTCTTATACACTAATTCTACATCACCGTTGGGCAGAAATAAAATTAATGCATAAAATCATTAAAATTACGATATTGTTATTAACAACGATGGTCAGAAAATAACAACATCATAATCATGTCAAAATCTCTTTATATCCAATTAAATACCACGTTGGTTCAAAATAACTGGAGAATAAATAATTTCTTTAGCAGCGGAAAACGTAAAAAATTATCTATTTTTCAGAAGCATTTCTGTGTAATTTCTCTATTCTCTAAAAATTTATCCCGATGGTTCAAAATTTAACAGAGAATTAAAACAAAATTCATCAAATTCACTTCTAAAAATAATAAAACAAAAATTACTCTTCTATTCATTTTGGCCCGGCCTGCAGCAACAGTAACCGACCCGGTAGCTACAGTCGCGGCCCGGCCTGCAGCAGCACCCCTTTCGCACGCGCTCGCAGCACCTCCCCCGCGCCCAGGCCACAACCTAGGCCTGGGCCGCGAAAGTGGCCAGCCGCGCTCTCCCGCCTGGGCCGAAAGTCGGTCCAATGAATCTGGACCGTCAGATCTCATCGGACGGCCACGCGCATGGATCGGTCGAACAAAACCCCAGCGCGGCGGCCTCCCCAAAACCCTATCTCATTTCAACTCCTCCCTTCCTCTCTCTTCGCCGCTCTCCTCTTCCCTGTTAGCGTAGCCACAACGAGCGACCGAGAGCGAGACGCGATGCGGGGATGGCGGCTCCGCCGTGGCACCCCTCGCCGATGCACGCGTGCGGTCGGAGCCGCGTGCGGCACCGTCGAGCGGCACCACGGTGGTGCCCTTTGGCCCAAGCTGGAGGCGGAGATCGTGCGGCGGCGCTTCTCCCGCCCCAGCGGCTGAGGTTGACTTCCCGTGCGGTGTCCTCGCGACGGCCGGCGGTGGAGACGGAGCAGGCGGACCCTAGGTAGGAGCTCCTGACCCTTGTCTGTTCACTCTCTTCCCCTTTCTCGTCGCGAGTTAGGGTTAGGGTTTCATTAGGGTTCGGATTAACCCGATTCGTTTTTTCTCTCGGTTTTGATTCGAGATCGGCGAGATAAGCCCCTTCCCCTTCTTCTCTTTTGGATCTTCTTTCTTTTCTTTTCGGAGTTGAACCGATTTGGGGTTGGGGTTAGGGTTAGGGTTATTGTTCTTCTTCCCCGATGGGTTAGGGTTCGGTTGAACTCTCTGCATCTCGATTTCTTTCCCAATTAAGGTTAGGGTTGCTTCGTGGGCTAGGGTTCGGCTTCGCGTGCCGAGACCCCTTTCTCTTCTCTTCTCAGATCCGAACGGGCTCTTTTCTTTTCTTGCCATGCGCCGGCGAAGACGGCGGTGCGACACCTTTCCCCACACGGTGGTGGTGGTGACCGGCAGTTGAGTGACTCCCGCCACCCTCCCGGTCTCTTTTCTATTTTCTTTTACCCGGTTAGGGTTAGGGTTTCAATCCGAAATGGATCGAACCCTCTGTTCCTCTTCGACTTCTTTTAAATTCTTCTACCCCATACTAGATTTACACACTGTTAACCCCGCTCTGGTACCATTGTTAAAAACAAAGTACCTCTGAACCGTAGATCAGGGGTAAACATCTTACTTAGATGGAGAAATAGGTTCCTCTACTTCGCCCTAGCGCAGTTGCGACGTAGCCGCGTGGACGTCGGTGTCATGGGAGCTCGGTGCGGTGGAGTCCAGCGTAGTGGTGGCGATGGAGAGGCGACGGTGACGCGAGGTCAGCGGGTCTTCCCGTCGCTGGCAGCACTCTCTTTAGATCGGGTTAGGTTTAGCTGTTGGTGGGTCATGACGGCTCTAATCAACCTCGTAGTTAGAGCCCTGATCTCCACCTCTCTTTATAGTGTTGTACGATAGGGGCCCACCAACCATATTAGGGTTGGGCGCCCCGATCAGGACGCAGATCTAAGGGCCCAATAGACTGTTGGGCCTATTGGTGGAGATCAACTAACACAAGGTAGTCCATGGAACAGGCACAACTCAACAGCTCAGCAGAGGATGAAGTCATGAGACTCACGACCAGACCAACCATCCTTGCTCTGCTAAAACTCCTATTACTACTACTGATCTGAATAACCGAAACCAAACCTCCTTCAGACAGGGGGAAAAGAAGAAAAGGCAGCCTTTTTAACTACTGCCTTGATTGCAGGTGAAGAAGCAAACAAAAGTGGCTTGTCTAGGTTAGTTAGCACTAGTAGTCTAGTAGATAGCTCGAGTCGGTCCAAGGCTCTCTGATGTAGCGTAGAACACAGGGATGATTCGTGAATTGGAGGCTCTCATGTAGAGTCAGAGAGATTCGGTGAGCGAGAAACTACGAGAGGAAGAGCTAGGAGACGGTATGGTCGTGAAATGGTGAAAGGGTAACATTACTGATATCACAAGAATGGATGGCCATATACATGTTATGCAATCAACCAAACACAGGCGATTATGCATTCCAACGTCTAATGCGGGCAACCAAACAGTGTTTTATGCTGTGCAAAATTGAAACGCAAGACAACCAAACACTGCTTTGAAGCATAAGACTATGCTGGATTAGATATCTAATACTAGACTCTTATGGCTACCGCAATGCGAGCAACCAATCAGACCCTTACGTATCTTAGGTGAATTGGAATTTGGATGCTTGGCTGAGATAGACCCTCCACCTGACCACTTCCATCTGCACTGGCCTGCAACTGCAAAGCTACTAAATGGGCCAAAAGTCTTTCAGCCCTTCTAGCTGAGCTGCTAGCCCAACCAGTTCATCTGTTAGTCATACCATTTTTTTTCCATCGCCACTGCCATTGGATGTGTATGGGATGAGTACACTTGAGCAGAGAGAGACATAATACATTTTGTAGTTTACAATATTTTCGTTTAAAGGCATCCTAAAACTTAAATAGTCAATTTAATGCTCAAATCAACAAATACAGATCTGAACATTGTAGCAATTTTGTTAGGTATCCAAACAAAGGAAAAACTATGTTGTAGGTCTCTTTTTTATCTATGTTTTTATATAATTTTATTTTCATTTGAGTTCATATTTAAAAGTTATTATTTTTTAAGATGAGCCTGTACAAAAAAGAAATTCCACCAATTCAAATGGGTGGTAACCAAAATTTCGCTAGCTTAATTAGCGGCATGTACTTGCCATCACTTCAATCGACGGTAGTAGTATAGTTTTACAAATTTTGATTTAGACAAATATTTTTTTTTGCAAAAACAAACTTATTAATATTATAGAAAATCACCTCCCCAAACTTATTGGCCTTATCTTCCTCAACTCCTGAGACAATGTCGCCGCAGCCTCTGCCACATCACCAATATGTCATCACCGCATCATTCTTCCCCTCTTTGACATCTCATCACTGCCTCCTCTTCCATAGCCATTCACGTTGCTACCTAGCCCTTCTCCTCCCTAGCCATCTTGTCCTCATTGATGTCCTTTGGCTTCGAGCTCATGTCTAGTAGCCACAAGCCCATGACACTAGAATTGGTGGCTCGTCCTAGTCGCACTCTTCTCCTTCGTGAGAAGGTGATGTGATACCGCCCACCTCCATCTCTTCCCCACATCGGGGTCCTACCCCAAATCGTTGGCTACCGTCCTCTTCGATTCGCTCTTGGTGACATAGAGTGGAGGGGAAATCGAAAGTGGGTGTTTGACAAATGCAAGCATGAGATGAGGAAAGTGATCGGGGTAGTAGCTTGCGTGTGGGCCAGTGTCAGGGCCCACACAATTAGACTAGAGAGGTGTTGGTCGCTAGCGTATTGTTTTTTTAGATTTCTCTCACTTCCACGTCACCTATAAATTGACATACAGAGTTGTTCCCTATTTTCAATGGAGAGCCACCTCTTAGGAGTGAGGGTGTCTCCATAAATAATGAGGGAAGGTGGAAGATGTGCTATCTCTTCTCAGTGGTAGAACCGAGGGTGGCCAGCAGGGGCCATGCCCCCCTAACACAATGCAATAAATAGTACAGACATGCACTCAGTCTAGGCCACACTCTCCAAAGGTCACTAACCTGTTGCTGGACCTCCTTGACACACAAGTGATCCACCATGCCCAAACTAACGGCTTCACAATTAACATGTGGGACATGTCCTTGGCACCATCATCCGGCCAGCGAGTTCGCGGGGGTTCAACCATGTCTAGCCGCCCTCGCTCTAATTAAAACTTCTTGTTTCGCCACTCTCTTCTTCAAAAACTAGTTCAGATAGAGAATGTATTGTGAGAAGTTGGATCCGTGCTTTATTCATGCGCAAGAGATGTTGTCCCGTTAAAAATCGTATATGCATGACCCACATAGTTTAAGCAATATGCTAGAGACAAACCATTGGAGGAATAATCTTTTTTACTACTCCATCCGTTATAAATTATAAGTTATTCTAGTTTTTTAGTTACATAGTAAAACTATGCATTTAGACAAAAGCGTAATCGTGATTTATAATAAAAACTATGTACCTAAAAAATCTAAGTTAACTTATAATTTGAAACAAATGAAGTATCTGTTTATATGTGCTGGAGAAGCCCTTGTAGGCGACGCCAACTCCGGACATGGAGGGGCATATGTCTGTGTAACCTTATAAGTTAACTAATAATAATAGAGGAAAAACGAAATCCTTCCTAAATAAAAGCCCATCAAACAAAAATACACAAAAATAATAATTAAGGTGCCCAAATCAAAGTGTTGCATCCTCGAAAAAAAAGAATCAAAGCATTTGAAAATAGGAATGCTAAACAACACTTATGTGCTTTACATCCATCTCACACACCAATTTTTCTGATGTTCCTATAGTATATATGTAATGTTCGTATAGTATATATGTGATGTTCTATGATACTCGGTCAGTGATGTTCTATGATATTTTTCGTGATGTTCGCATGGTGCACAAGTGAGGTTCTACGAATTCGGGTGCTAGTTGGCCAAAAAACACACGAATAATACCCGACTACCAAATAGACGCTCTGATGTTCTATTATGTATTATGTGATGTTCTATTATGTATTCTGTAATGTTTTACAAAATTCGTGTACTAGTTCAAAAAAAAAAGTGCGATATAGACATTCTCGATACCGTTCAATTCAGGCGACACGCAAGCAAGCAAGCGCCGGTGGTTGCCTATTCGGCTATTTCAGAGCGTCTTCCGGGCCACGGACACGAAAGTCATGGCCGTCCCTCCAATATGGACGGGAAATGCCCAGAACCAAGCTACCGCATGCAAGACCGCTGCATGCTCGCTCGCCGCAGTACGCCCGGAGTTGAATCCGTTTAGACGACTGCCTGCCTGAGGAGACGAGCCTGCTTGCCGATCGCCGTACCTACTGACGGAGAAGTTCCGTTCCGGAGCAAGCTGAGCTATCTAGCACTTGATCGGGGCCCTCGGCGGCGGCGGCCGACTGCCGGGGCTGCACAATGGCTAGATCTTTCAACATTTGCCCGCAGATCGATCCCTTGGTGACCACGCGCGTCCCCGGCGTCGCCCTCGACATGCTGTTCCTCGTTATCATCCAAGCGCTCGCCGTCATCTTCCTCGCCAAGTTCATCCACCTCTTCCTCCGACGCTACAACCAGCCCAGCGCAGTCTCTCAGATCCTCGTACGTACGCGCGTGTCTCCAGAGTGTCGATCTGCGGTTAACTTCCTGGATGCTCCATCTGAAACTGCTGCCATGGCCGCGATCTGTTTTAATTTCAGGCCGGCGTTGCCGTGGGCGGCATGGGCCTGCGCAACGCCATCCTGCACGTGGACGTGGACGACGTCGAGGACATGTACGGCGGCTACATCTGCGCGGCGCGCGTCGTGTACATGTTCCTCGTCGGCCTCGACCTGGACCTCGCCGCGCTGCGGAACGCCACGCGCCGGTGCGTCGCCCTGGCCTACGCGACCGTGGCGGCCAGCCTGCTCGTGGCCGCCATCGTGTCCACGGGGATGTACGGCAGCATGATGCACTCCCCTGTGAAGACGCCCGAGCTGCTCGCCGCCACCCTCATGCTCGCGATCACCAACACCTCGTCCATCACCGTCGCGCGCGTCGCCGATGAGCTCAACCTCACGGTGACGGAGAACGGGCGGCTCCTCGTCGCCGCGGCCATCATCACGAACCTCATCTGCGTCGTCGGCGACGCCGTCCTGTCGTCCACGGCGCTGGCCAAGGAGAAGAGCCAGGACCTGTACCACACCTCGCCCCAGATCAAGAAGGGCTTCCTGGCGCTCGCCGTGGCAGGCGTCGCCGTGTGGCAGGTGCGCCCCCTCGTGACGCGCATCAACCAGCGGAACGTCGGGCAGCACCACGTCAGGACCCGCCACCTGGTGGCCATACTCTTCGGCATCTGGTTCATCAGCAACATCCAGCAGCTGCTGGGGTTCGACGGGATGCCGACCAGCCTCGCGCTGGGGATGGCGTTCCCGAGGGAAGGCCCCGCCGCGCGGTCCGTCGCCGACGCGCTTGTGCCACCCGTCAACGGCTTTGTCCTGCCCTTCTACTTTGCCACCATCGGGATGAGGCTCGACTACAACTCCATGTCCGGCGCCATCATCGTGCCCGGCCTGCTCCTGACGCTGCTCGGCCTGGTGGCCAAGGCCATCGGCGCCGCGTCCGCCTCCACGTACCTCAACATCCCAATCTCCGACGCGCTCCGCTACAGCGTCCTGCTCAACGTCAAGGGACACGTTGACACCATGAACATGAAGTTCGCCAAATCGGAAGGGGTTGGTAGCTAGTACTGTCCTAGTATAATCATGCTCCATATCCTTATACCAGGCGAGCTAGCACGGTTATATCTATCTAATCGTGGTGGTCGATCGGCCGATGCAGGTGTGGGCGGAGCAGGCGCTGTACGCGATGATCATCGGCAACCTGATCAGCACCGTCATCGCCGGGCCAGCCGCCGCCGCGGTTCTGCGCAGGGAAAAGGAGGAGTACAGGACCAGGCACCAGGCCATGGAATCGCTGGGCGCAGAGCAGGAGCTGCGCATGTTCGTCTGCGCCCACAGCGCGCACGCCGCGCCCGGCGTCCTAAGCCTGGCGGAGCTCCTGGTGATCACGCCCCAGGAGCAGCCGGCCGTCCCAGTCCTCCATTTCTTCGAGGTCCCCCGCGACCGATCCGCTCGGACGCCGTACCACCAGCAGGTGCGGGGCGACGAAGCCGCCGAGGGGAAAGGCGGCCCCGATCCCGTGACGCAGATGAACATGGTGGTCGACGTGTTCTCCAAGACGACGGGCATCTTCTTCCGCCAGATCGACGTGGTGAGCCTCGGCGCGTCTCGGGACGCGGCCGTCGCGTGCCGCTGCGCGGAGGAAGCGCACGCCGGCCTGCTGCTCCTCCCCTGCTACAAGGAGCAGCGGTTCGACGGCAAGATGGCGTGCCGCCTCGACGAGCGGTGGAAGCTGAACCACGACGTGCTGGAGCGGGCGCCCTGCACCGTGGGGCTCCTCGTTGACCGCCCGTACCGGTGCAGCGGCACCAGCTTCCAGACGCCCATCGGCATCGCCCCGGAGACCGGGAGGACACTGGTGCACCCGTGCAGCGACCGGACGGTGACGCACGTGATCGCGGCCGTGTTCCTGGGCGGGCCCGACGACCGCGAGGCGGTGTCGTTCGCGTGCCGGCTCGCGGAGCACCCGTCCATCGGGCTGACGGTGTTCCGGTTCGTGAAGCGCAGCACGTACGACACCGTAACGTCCTCCACCTCCCGCGCCGCCGCCGCGGAGGAGGCCGGCGGCGACAAGCTGGACGTGCCGTTCCAGGAGGGCGACGTGGACGAACGGTTCCTGTGGCGGTTCTACGAGAACTACGCGTCGCGGGAGCTGGCCATGTACGTGGAGAAGGTGGTGGAGAGCCCAACGGACGTGGTGGAGACGCTGGAAGGGATGGCCGGGATGTTCTCGCTGGTGGTGCTGGGGCGGGGCGGGCGGCAGCCGGTGGAGCTCATGGCCGGGCTGGAGCGGTGGTCGGAGGGCGGCAGCGAGATAGGGCCCGTGGGAGAGATCCTGGCGTCCAACGAGTCGCTGGAGATGGGCTCTGTGCTCGTCATGCAGCAGCACACGGTGGCGATCCCGCTGCCATGCCAATGAAGTCAGATTTCACAGGACAGCAGCAGAACAGCTTGTGTATACTTAGATTTCTGGAGTAGGAAAATGGATCTTCTTCGGTTGCCCTTTCTGGTCAGTTTCAGAGTAGTGGATATCCTACAGAATTGGACTTTTTGTATTGTGGACATTTGTATGAAAACAGTTTTCCTTCAGCTTCAGGGCTTGAAGCTGAACGGTTGATCTGACAATTATTGGTAGCACATCATAGATATCCAAATCATATTCTGAACTCTGATAGCACAGCATATATTTCACCAATCGTATTCTGAAAATGTGTAAATACATATGGAATTGTCTACAACCCTGACAAACAGAAATGAATTATACAAGCAGAATGATCCCCACCTGAACTCTCTGAAGCAGATTTTGGAAACAGTAGCGCCACGAATTCGAATTGTACATGTACTAGCCTGTTCCCTAAACACTGAAGCTGACAAGTATCAAATATCAATCAGTCGGTGTTGAATTAAAAACAAACATCTGCATCAAAAGCATCCACGAAACTGGAATCGGCAGTTGATTGTTTAGTTGATGAACTGCTAGTTCACTTTCAGAAAACTGGAGACGCTATCCAATTCCCATACTTTTGGCCCACATATAAGGCCCAAGTCGGCCTACTAGAGCAGAGACGCACGCAATGGCACGCAGCACAACATCACGCGAGTTCTAGTTCTGCTCCTGTCGTCGTCCACTGAATTTTGTACTGAAATTACTTGCACTCTTGTTGCTATACCATCTACACAGTCAAGAGGATCCAAGACAGTAAGACCTTAGGCATCCTATTTCCAACGTGTTCCTGTTGCACTTGCACAATTGAATGCCCCCTTCACCTCAACTCCAAATCTTCATCAGGTATTTATTCTTACATGTTATATATGCTCCGAAATCTTACACTATTGTATCACATCATTAAACATTGAACATTAAACATGTAGTTGATTCAATCTGAAAACTTTCCTTGACGTTAGCTATATACTCGTATATATCTTCCAGATCCACCAGCAGCAGCAGAGCAGTTTCAGTTTGTGAAAACTTTAGATTTTTCTGGATGCCCTTTTCTGGTCAGTATGAGAGCAGTGGACATCCTACATAACTGGGCTTTTGTATTGTGGACATTTGAGCTGAAGATTAATTGTCGTGTCACATACATATACACTGATAGCACATCATAGATATCCAAGCATATTCTGAACAACCCGAAAGTAGAAAGATCCATCTGCCGATTGAGACAATACTCTGATGCAGATTCTGGAAAACACAACTGGAGCCCTGCTCCCTAAACACTGAACCTGACAAGCAAGTTGCAATCGATTATTTAGTTGATGAACTACCTATATAATAGAACATACAACAAGATCAAACTGGACACACAATCAAAATTACATTGCTTTGGTAGGGGTGTGCCATCTCAAGCAACAATGCAACGCTAGAGCGACACTTGAAGCTCTAGTAGCAAGCTACCGTAATAGGCTGGCCCATTAACCAAGGAATCCGGGAAGGACCGTCCGTTATTTTCGATTTCTGTTTCAGCCCAAGTTAGATTCCCGGACCTGGAGCACCGTTGGAACTTGGAAGAGGCGTACGGTACGCGGCGTCTGCGGCGGCGGCGTCCGGCGATTGGCGCCTGCGGGAAGGGGCCGGCGGATGGGGGAGGGCGAAGAGTCTTTGCGGCTGTGCATACCGGTGCGAGGGCGCCCTTCCCTCCCTCCTTCCTTCCTTCATTGTAAGCTTTGAGTGGTATTGTTCCCACATTTCCTTAAGAGTCTACGCAATCCGCATTGTCCCAGCAAGCGTCGATCATGTGCAAGTACTACTCTTCTAGAATGATGAGCTGATATCTGCACGCATGGGTGTAGTTGTTTAGAAATCGAGATTTAGTAAGATAAAGTCAGATTAGGCATCCCCCGTCAGTTATTTCTGATTGCGATTTACTTTCTGAACATTCAGCAGTTAGCGCAGTGTGTTACGGTATGAAATAATTTCGTGTGTTAGGAATTGGGACTATCTAGCAGCAAACTGAATCAGCCCATCTTTCGACAGCTAGCGTTTTCGTGTGCTGGAGCTGAAGCTGAACAAAATTTCTTAATTACAGATTAGAACTCTGCACGCTGTAGTACCCCATGTAAATATTTTGATTTACTGTTGCCATTACATGTAGAGGGCTAAGGAAAAAGGAAAGCTGTTATTCTAGAGTACTAGACCATTTGCCAGCTCAGATTTTACAGTGCAAACATCATAGTATTTTCTTTGGTAGGTTCTACATCAACACTACTTTATTGTCTCAATGGCAACCTTGATTCCTTCTTTTCTAATCACAGTGTGATTGTCTTTACATGCATCCATCTGTACATCCTCAGTGTACCATTGGAAAAACATTGCACAAAAACCGTGCTCCAAGGTACTTCTGGGAAAAAAAAGATGGAAGGGAAAAAGAGAGGAAACAAGCTCCAAGCCCTGGACATCTTCATCTTCATCTTCAGGAGCTGCACACAGCAAATTGCTGGTTCACTCCATTGGGTGGTTGCACCATCCTGCTTGTGTGGTGGCAAGGCATCACTATGGAACTGAGGAGCGCCTTCTCAACATCTTCAGAGGCTTCTCTCCTTAGCAAACACATCACATACTCCATCACTGCTGTATCGCAAGGCAGTGTGATCCTCCCATCACTTGTGAACCCAAACTCTTCCTGTGACAGCTTCAGGAGCTCTACAAAGACTGCCGTGTGGAGGTAAGAAAGGGGGATCTCAAACCGCTTCCCATCAGAAGAGTAGACGATGCAGTTGCCCTTTCCTGCAACTATGCTGCTGCAAGATGGGTTGATTTCCTTTCTCACTGCTGTGACCCTTCTTCTCCCAACTGCACCCATTCCCTGCATCTTCTTGGACAACTGAGCTAGCTTCTTGGAGCTGATCATGTTGCTACCTGCCTTTGCCTAACAAAGAAATGAACCCCTGTCTTTGAGATGAAATGATGAGAAATGATCTGATTTGTGTGTGGTGATGGTTTGTGTCAGTGATCGTGTATTTATAGGGCACATATGTGGTAGGATTTGTGAGGGTTTGCATCTTGGTCTCAGCTACAAATGCCAAGCTGGCAAGGGACAAGCCCATGAGCTTCCTTGGTGAGATGTTCATATCAATTGTTGGGAGATTCAATGCACAGCAGTACAGGACCATTGTTTCTCACATGGTGGAGCCATCTTTACTGGCTTGGTATGTGATTGTTTCTGCCTACCGGGGTGGGCCTAATTTTGACTTAATGGTGTTAGGATTATAGAGTGTTTTATGTTTACATTAGTAAAGTCCTTTTCTATACACACTCATGTACTCCTATATATTCCCCCCATGGGATTATTATTCAACACCAGAGCTGTTCATAACAAATGTTACAAAATGCTTGGTCTAGTTTTTCCAGTTTGCCTTTTCTGAGATATTAAATGTGATAACAACTCGTTTAAGAAAAAGTGATAATAACTTACGTTCCCTTTGTTATATAGGTTCAATTCACCCTATCCTGTGTTGTTTGATGAGGATTAGATTGTCAAATGTGGTACATTTCTCTGCCATTTACAATTTTATTTGCAGAAACTATTTCATGCTGCCTTTGCTGATTTTCTCCTGTCTTTTCCAGCAATTGCAACATAATGGAAACAAGATACCAAGGTTGCAAATCAGCAAAATTAAAACACTCTTGAAATTTCTTTACATCTAGATTTTGAGGCTTCGTCATCCGGCTCCTCTATGTAGAATTTTTACCGGCCAGTATTTAGCTATATAAACTTCTTGCTTAAAGCTCCTGCTTAGACCAGAGCATATCTTTTGCTAATTTTCTCCCTATATATATGGCCAGTTTAAAACTGATGGCCTGTGGGTGAGGTTGGGGATAAGGATATTATAATGGCTTTGGGTAATATGTATAGGTGACAGAAAAAAGGTCCATGCGGTTTCAATAAAATAAAATGGTTCATGGCATTTGCGCAGTAGTTATTGATGTGTCTAGTTGGCAAGCTGCAAGGCCATGGATCTGTTAATGCAGTGTTTGCTACATTGAAGGCAATGCGATTATGAATCCAATATTTCTGGGCCAAATTTTGGTGCGCTGCGGTCCTTGCAGGGACCATAGTAGGGACTTGGTAGTTGGATAATTGAATCAGTATTCTGTTCTAGTGGCTCCACGCGTTCATATAAGCATTCAGCTAATCAGCAATCATCTCGGTCCCAGCTCTTGTGAACATAAGGGCATATTTATAAAAAGAATCATTTTGAAGGACGACCACTGAAAAGGTTATCTAGGATGCTTCATGAGCCCTTCCTCAGCTGATGATGAGAGAGCTATACAATGGTCAAGAGACATGAGGGAAACATGTAGGGTCCTGAGTTTCAAGAAGTAGCCTCCTTTGTTAGTGTGTAAGGAGAACTGCAGATGTCAATAGGCTACATGCTTTTGGCAACATTAATTCAGTTAGGACGGTGCTGGATGGTTCAACTAACTTGCTCGACAATCTCTTATCTCCATTGTATGTTGTGTCCCAGTTAGTCAACAACATCTCACATGCCCTCAATTTCCTTTGTTTCTTCCTGCCATTCCTTGTAGGTCTCTTCAAGAAGACTTCAGTTATCTGAATAACATTTTGGCCATTTTTTTTCTAAATCGTATGTACTTTGACCAGTGTTGTAGAGTTATGACAATATTTTTGCGTTGAAATAAGCTTATCTCACGTGCATACGTAACTCCACTCCAGCTCTCAACTCATCTATGCCCTTTTTGTGATGTGAAAAAAAGTATATTCCTTTTTTTTTAGAGTTTTCAGATGATATTTTATAACATATTTTAATCCTGTAATGTATAATTCTTTTCTCCAACATTTCAGGAGTTTTTTCAGTAAATCTCAAGTGGAATAGTATAATCAAGGGATCAAGATGGCTAGCTTCTCTGGATCATATGTTAGAATGGTCAGTACAAGAACACAGGAAACCTACCAACTTACATGTTGGAATTGTATGCACAGGTAATGCACGCACACATTGTAACTTGCATACAAATATTCATTTATACAATGTTGCATTGGATTTCACTCTTTGTAATTGTACAATAAGGCAACTAAGCCATTGGTATAGTCCTAGTCCAATACTATGTATTGTTATATCCATTAGGATGTAGTAACTTGAGTCAAGAAAAACAAGACTTGCTACTAGTTAACTCTGATTTACATTTATTACAGCAAATATAAATTTGGTTAGGACTTAGAATGGTGCTGCTTGGTTCAAATAACTAGAGTCAAGAAAAAGGACTTTCGCTAGATCTTTGGTTAACTGGAGTCAGTATTTATTTCAATGCAAGCTTGATTCCTCCTTTTCTAATTACGATGTAATTATTTTTACATTCCATTTGTACAACCACAGCATACCATGGAAAAACGTTACACAAAAACCGTGCTCCATGGTACAGCTGGGCAAAAAAGATGGAATGGGAGAAAATAAAAGGAGAGAAAACAAGCTCCAAGCCCTGGTGTCTTCATCTTCAGGAGCTAGACAGAGCAAATTGGTTGTTAAATCCACTGGATGGTTGCACCATTCTGCTTTGATGGTGGCAAGGCATCACTATGGAACTGAGTGCCTTCTCGACATCTTCAGAGGCTTCTCTCCTCAGCAAACACATCACATACTCCATGACAGCTGTATCACAAGGAAGTGTGATCCTTTCATCACTCGTGTACCCAAACTCTTCCTGTGACAGCGTGAGGAGCTCTGCAAAGACTCTTGTGTGGAGGTAAGTGAGGGGGATCTCAAACCGCTTCCCATCAGAAGAGTAGACAACGCAGTTGCCCTTCCCTGCAACTACGCTGCTGCAAGATGGATCCTTGTTGTCCACTGTTGTGACCCTTCTTCGAGCAACCGCACCCATTCCTTGCCACTTCTTGGACAGTTGAGCTAGTTTCTTGGAGCTGATCATGGTGGCTACTTGCCTTTCTATCAAGGAAACAGACTCCTGTCTTTGCGATGAAATGATCAGAATCAGTTCGATTTGTGTGTGGTGATGGTTTGTTTCAGTGATCATGTATTTATACAGGCACATATGTTGTAGAACATGGGAGGGTTTGCATCTTGGTCTCAGGGTATCAGCTATCACAAATGGCAAGCTGGCAAGGGACAAGCCCACGAGCTTCCCTGGTGAGATGTTCCTATCTATGGTTGGAAAATTCAATGCACTGGACCATAGTTTTGCACATGGTGGAGCCATCTTTACTGGCTTGGTATGCGATCTCTTCAGCCTACTGGAGTGGGCCTAATTTTGACTCAATGGTACAAATTGTTGGGTCCAGTTTTTCGCGAAAAGGTCCAGTTTTTCCATTTTGCCTTTTTTTTTTCTGAGATATAAACATGATTACTGACTTACTCACCCCTGTTGTACAGGTTCAGTTCACCCAATCCTATGTTTTCGATGAGGATTAAATATTAAAGATGTACATTCCTCTGCCCCATGTGATTTTATTTGCAGATTATTTTGCATTTGCAGAATTCCATCTTGTCCCTTTTCGAGTGTGTTCAGTGCAACGGAAACAAGAAAAAATGGTTGCGAATTAGCCAACACATTTTCTTGAAAAATGTTCATATCTAATGTACAAATTGCCTGGCCAGTTTTTCTACCTTGCTTCTAGTCTCGCTATATAAAGTTCTTGCGTAAAGCTCCTGGTTAGACACTTAGACCAGAGTGTATCTTTTGCTTATTTGCTACTAGATGACCAGTTTAAGAATACAGGTCTATGTATAATTTTGGGAACCGAGGATAGTCAATAGTCATTATTTTGTTGAATAAATAAATATATAGGGGTGACAAGAAATATGTCGTGGTTTTAATGAAATAAAATAAAATAAAATAGCCCATGGCTTTTGCATAGTAGTTATTGATGTGCCTAGTTGGCAAGCAGCAAGACTTAATTCGATGTTCTCTACAATGAGAGCAGTGTGGTTATGAATCTGATGTTGCTGGGCCAAATGTAGGTGCACCGCCGTCCTTCGCACTGTTCGTTTGGGCTTGTTTGGCTGATTGGATCTGTATTGTAGGGACTTGGTAGTTGGATGATTGGATCTGTGTTGTAGCAGTCAGTGGCTCCGCGTTGAATGCAAGCACTTGGCAACAATTTTAGTCCCAGCGCTTGTTAACATAAGGGCAGATTTATGATAGGGAACAGTTGGAGAGAGACCATAAAAAAGATTATGTATGATGTTTCGTGAGTCCTCCTCAGCTGATGTCACAAGAGCCGTACATTGGGCGAGAGACATGATGGAAGCATGTAGGGTCTTGAGTTTTAAGAAGTAGCTTCCTTTGTTGGTTGTGGAAGGAGAGTGGAGATGTCGATAGGCTACATCCTTTTGTCAACATTAAACTTAGTTAGGACAGTGCTTGTTGGCCGAAACAACTTGCTCGACAATTTCTTATCGGCATTGTGTATTGTGGTCCAGCAAATTAGTCCCCAGCATCTCTAGTGTCCCATTTCCTCGTTTCTTTGGGCCATTCCTGATAGCCCCCTCTACGACTACATCAAGGCTGCAGCTATGAGAGGTGTCTGAATTCATTTGGTCGATTTCTTTTAGAAATTGTCATGCTGTGATCTATGTTTTGTATGGAGAACCTTAGAAACATATTTTCACGTTGAAAGAAGATTACCTCATGTACATATCTGACTCCACTCAAGGTGTTAAATCACATTCTGGCATTCTGCTGAGCGTATTTCAGGCTTTCAACAGATCCATGCCATTCTCTGAAGAAAAGATATCGACATTGCCGTGGTCAGGTTTATTCCTTTCGTAGGTGAGTATGAGTGCTTTGCTTCATTTATTTTGTCTGCATCCTTTTGCTTCATTTAGACTGACTCCAACAACACAACCCATACCCAAAATAGGTCATTCACAGTGATTTGGGTACCCAAAATACGCTCCAACGGGTAACCCAAATAGACGACGCATTTTGCGTTCAGGGCGAACCGAAACGCAAATAAGCGTCTCGACGCAGAGACGACGCAAATCGGTGCCGCTCGCGGTGGGGACGGAGGCGGCTCGCGCAGCGCCCCCTCCCGGCAGCGCTTTGGGTCTTGGCGGCTCTGCTGCTCTGTGGCTGCGCGGGGCAGCAAGCGGAGGAGGACGGCGCGGATGGCCCGGCCGCGGCAGCGGCGACGGCCCCCATGTAGGAGGAGCGCAGGGCCCTGTACGCCGCCATCAAGAGCTTCGTCGGCAAGGGGTGGAACGGCTCCGAGCCCCCATGGAGGAGAAGGAGCGCAGGGCCCTGTACGCCGCCAGAGCTTTGTCGGCAAGGGGTGGAACGGCTCTGGGCTCTCTTGCCATTGCCATCGAGAGCGTATGTTCATCTTCATCGTGTTCTTCAGATACATGAGAGAAGCTTTTCTCTTTGTTTGTTTGTTGGCTTTGCCCGTCCTCATCACATGCCCTTTCTCGGTGCTCCCCTGCTTGCCTGCTTTGAGCTCCAATCCAAAACCGTCCGCGCGAAGGGGCCGCGCGCCTCGCTGGATCTCGCGCCGGAGCTCGCAGCTCGGTGGCGGCCGCGGGGAAGACGAAGACGGAGGAGCAAGCGGCACCGGACGGAGGAAACTGGTTCGCTGTCGGAGAGGGAAGGTTTTGGATGTGTGACCATTTTCCTGTACGTGACTCAAATCCTGGAAATAGGTCTCGTGTATTCAGCAGGTTGCCCACGACGAGCCGCAAAACTAAGCCAATATGTGAGTTTACGGGCCAACCCACTTACATCGATCGCTGCCTCCTCCTACAGTCGGCCACCGCGGCTCCCACTGCCAGCCGCCTCCTCCTCCGGCAGCCGGCCATCGCGGCACCCACTGCCGGTCGCCGCATCCACCGCCGGCCGCCTCCTCCTCCTGCAGCCGGCCATCGCGGCACTCACCGCCGGCCGCCACCTCCTCCTGCAGCCGGCCATCGCGGCACTCACCGCCGGCCGCCGCCTCCACCTCCAGCCGTCGCCACCTCCACTGCTCGGGCCTCGATCTTTGTGCAGGCTCGGCTCGCTGCTTGGTTGTCGCCACCCCATCGCCGCCGCCACCGTCCCCCATCGCTCGTGCACGGCCGCGTGCTCGACCGCGCTGGGCTTTGGCGCGCCGCGCCGCCTCCGCAAATGCAGTGCTTGGTGCCACCTTGCTCCACCCATGGGCCCCTTCGAGGGCAAGGACGGCAACGACAGAGAGGAGCAGCGCAGAGCCCGTTTTTTCGGCTCCTCTTCCGTCTCGTGGCTCTAGAGAGGGGGATTTGGGGGGAGTTTCTCCATTGAAGCCATCTTGAGATGAGTGTTTGGCAGGGCTTCGGCAGGAGCCGGTGCCGAAGCCGCTCGAAAAGCCCTGCCAAAGGGGGGCTTTCCCAGGATGGGGCGGTGCCTGGAAGCTTGGAAACGGGACAGTCAACTGGCCCAGCCCCGGCGGCTTGTAGGTGCTGGTAGCGCCTGATTGATAATCGCGCACTCGCGCGCCATGTGTTTACCTTAGCGAAGGAAAGAGGGGTCCATTGTGGCTTGGGGTTTTAAGCCTCCAACACATGAGCTGATTCAAGGATACGCAATTCCTTCTTTTGTTTCTTGAGTTGGGTTTGTCTTGTACCCTTGTTTATTTCTTATACATAATATATCCTTTTTCCCTAAAAAGAATATATAATGTGAGATACTGTTGTGAAATGTATGATACACTTCCCTAAAATGTACAAGACACTTCCATATGTGTATGCATACATATGTTTTGTACGTATAGTGCATTCATACTTTGAATTAGTTGGCTAAGTCAGGTAGAATTGACATGGGGAATCACAAGTTTGGATATTAGTTTTGGTACTTGAATGAGTTTTCAAGTTTATGCAAATGTGGCATATCATGTTAGAATGTCATCATATCCAATGCCTCACCTTGTACCAAGCGAAGAACATAGAGTCTACCATAACTCTTGCAAGATTCAATGAAACTCCTATCAATTTGGTGCAACAACTTGAGCTTCAACTACTAGACATGACCACCAATTTTATTGCATGGTTCACTGCTAGAAAGCTATGCTAGCACTTCAAATGAATGGCTCAAGAAGGGAATCAAGTATGTCACATGCGGGTGAGGTAGCCTCTTTCTGAAGGCACCTACAACATGTAAGTCTTTCACCCATTTGTGGTACATCTGTAGTCGTGAGACTAATCATAATGATGATTTCTAGATCTTCTCTAAAGACAACTCCTTGCTCAATATACTTCTTTTTACCTTCTTTTCTTATTCTCCCTCCACTATGTTCTCATTTTCTTTACACGGACTTGAAGGAATAGGGCATTAGCAAGAGCATTAAGCACATGTCTAATATAAAATAGAATGTTGAGGAAATTGTGGAGCAATATGGGGAGAACCTAGACACTATTTTTTACTATAGTATCCTCCTATCACCTCCAAAGATACTTAATCAGACTCCTTGGGATGCGCTGAAATTGATAGAGTCTACCTGCTCTATCATAGAGCTCCTATTCTAGCCTATTGTCGCTGGTCTGAAGAATCTCCAAATAATGGCCAATGCTGAGAAATTCAACTAGCAAACTTTTCTTATGGAGGTCGCTACGATGTTGAAGGGATATCACTTCGCTGAAGAAATAATGTAGATGGTTACAAAATAGAAAATTCTAAAGAAATATTTTCTTCACATAATGTGCAACTATTCCATTATACATTTATATATTGGTTTCTTTAAGGAATGATTATGCCTTGTAGTATTATAAGTCAGTGTTTGTTGGATTTATGTTTCTTAGATTTGGGTTTCACCATTATCAATGTTTGTGTTAGTTACACTTTAAGCATTTTTGTTTATCACATCTGAGAAGAAGATAATGGTACTATATGATCAGAAACAGAAAGGGGCTAAAAATATTGTATGGCAGAGGTGCTAAGGCTCATAAGTTTGAGAATAATTGAAA